TTTTATTTTTTTCATTAATCCTTACCTAATTTTAAGAAAGCACCGACTGTTTCGAAGAGAAGGAAGATATCAGATTGAAATTCTCTATGGTTATGTTTTATTATTAAATTGCCGGCGATGGTTCCTACCTAATAGTAAATTGAATAATTGTAATTTACAGTGCATGGTTAAAATCATATTAATTAAAAATGAGAACGTATTGAAAATATTTATAAATATAACGAAAAAAATAAGAAATCATGGAACTAATAAATAATGTGGACATCAAAACGCAATGATACTTGATTTTGACTTTGTAAGACATATGCATAATTTAAAAATAAATCATTTTTATTTATGCTCGAAATTAATCAATTATGCTTGTGAATGAAAAATCATTATTTGAGATTTATAATGCATTTAAGTTTAATTTTATACTCAAAAAATCATGTATTTTTCATGCAATCAAAGCTTTGGGGGAGTCCATTAATCACGTGATCAATTTTTCAAAGATTTTTGGTCCCCCCTCCCCTTGGTGATAAATGATGATATTTAAAATTAACCCTCTTCCCCCACCAAACATTACGTGTCTTCTAGTTACTAGAAAAAAAAGTGTTTTTTTTATTTTTTTCGAAAATATATGGATTTAAAAAAAATCAGGTAAAAAATAATTACACATGATATCTTACTATGCCCCTTCTTCCCCCATGTGATATTTTTATTGTTTGTCAAACCCTTCCCCTTCCCCTAAAAACCTCACGTGATTAATGGACGCACCTTTGAAAGAAAAACGTAGCTGTGATAAAATATGCAGATGTGAAAAGCTTATTTATTATTGGAAAGAATGTGCAATTAGATATAGAATAAAAATTCTTAGGCCCTAATTCATTTAACTTCTACATAACTCACGTTTCTTACTGGTACATTAGCTATCAGGTCTATATGATCAGCGATAATGTCTACATATTCATAACCTTCCACGCCAGATACTTCTTTTAAAAACTTCATAGTTTCAGTTAAAGTTACATTACCACCCAAAACGATATATTCATCAACCGAACATTTCCTTAATTCGGTAACATCGTTCACATCAATATAAACCTGAGGTCTAACTTTTGGTCTAAAAGCACCTTGAGCAGTATTTCCAGCAACCAGCATTAAAGGGGCACCTTGGTGTCGTTGCATAATATTCAGAATACTTTTAACTGAAAACACTTTATACCAAACTACATCATCAATTTCGGTTCTCAAATGGTTTTGACCGTTTTTATAAGAATACATGTCTTGGCGAATTGAAGACAATTTTGGGCAATTATTTTCAATGTCCAAATCTTCTATATCCTGCAAAATAATTTAAAAAAAAAAATAATCGTTTGGATTTTTCATTAATTGGAATTTATTTATGCCCAAACAAATGTGATCATCAGTGTAAATAAAATGACGTTAATATTTTTTCGATATCTTTTATATTTCCGACAAAAAGTGAGTTTAAAAAAGGGGCCACTTTCACATGTTTTCAATGATATCTCTACCAAATGGAGAGCTAGGGTGTTGAAAATTGGTATATCGTATATTCAGAAAAAGACCTATAAAATGGCATCAAAATCATTTAAATACCAGGGTGGGGCCGATTCTGTATGGAAACTCACTCATAGTATGGAACCCAAACCCTTTGAACAAAACATTTTTTGTAAATTGGATATTTTTGTTACTGATTCTATACTCTAGTGATTATTTTCTTTAATCAGTATGGAACTATTATTAACTTCTTAATAATATGTTAGTAATTAATTATATATCAAAACATAATAATATCGATAATGTAGTAAATATTGACTTACTGGTATTTTATCTAATACTGCCCATTCTGCATCACTTGCCAATGATTTAAATGCATCCAAAATTGGACGATATCCTGTACAACGACAAATATTGCCGCCAAAGGAATTTTCGATCTCATTCATAGTAAGATTTGTATCTTCTTCTATCAAACTACGATTAATATTTAAATAAAAAAATCTAATTGTTCGAAAATTATTTGTAAATTATGTGTATATGTTATTACCTATGCATGTTCATGATCATTCCTGGACTGCAATAGCCACATTGGGTACCGTAAAAGTTTGCTAAAGTGGACTGAAGAGTATGATAACCAGATTTTTGATTTCCCAATCCAGAAACCGTGGTGATCTCCCAATTGTGGCAAGAATGAACCAATACTAAGCACTAAAATTTCATAAAAATTGTAATTTATAATAAATTGTATAAAACAAATAAAACGATACTATATAAAAGTATTTACGAGTATTTATCCAGCATTAGATTTTTTTTATTGAAAAAACGCAATATTTTCAAAATTAAATTATATTTCATATGTATAAAAATATTTATACCATTATGAAATTGCATACAAAACTTTTATAAATTTGAATTTATGAATTTGAAAATACATCGGTGGGTAAAATAAAAATATCTGAAACAAAGCATAAATATTTCGTTTTAAGTTGAGTAATTTACTAAATATATTATTAGTCCATGAATAGTGCATTTTTGCTTTACATTGAATGCAATTGCTAAATTATATGATTTATATTTTAAAATGCTTTTTAAAACATTATCTTTATGTGGTAAAGCTACCATTATTGGCTTCATCCAAATTATTAGAAAGTGAACAAAAGGCAGAGATTTGCCCAAAAAAATAAAAATACTAAATAAAAACTGGTTTTCAAAACTTGCACGTCTTTTGAGCAAAATTGCAATGAATTTTACGAAATTGATGTGTTATGAATGATTACAAGGACATCCTTAAAAGGCAGAGCATATAAAATATCCCGTGCCAGGGTTTACAATAAATAAACAGATAAATGGAAATGCAAGAACAAAAACAAATTTTATCAAAAGCTTGTGAAAAATATACCTCTAATAACTTTCATTTCTCGAATCTATTATTAACTTCTCGTAGGGTAAGTTACAGCAACGGACCGAAAATTGAAAAATGATTAGTTCTTGGCAAAGGCAGGTTCAGCGGCTTCGGAGATGAGGAGCAAAAAGTGCTAAAAACGTCAGTTTTTAAGAGAACTGATCAACCGATTTGTATGATCCAAAATAATTCGATTCGTATTGATGGGAAGAAGTGGTAAATAGATTTTGGCAAAGTTACACCTGTTTTTTAGATACAAAGATAAATGTGCAAAAAATGTCAGTTTTTGAGAGACTTATATATAATACAATTACTTGAATATTTAATTATTGTACGGGAAGATTCAGCAATTTGCCTTAAGGCAAGATGCCACACAACATTAGTTTATCATATATTTTTGTACAGACGTGCAGGTTTTGTCCATAAATGTTAAAACATTACTTACCGAGTTTACAGCCATGGTGACAATTTCGTTACTAACTGGATGTTTCCGTTTGACAGAAACAATACAAGCTCCACATCCACCTTCGCGGCACATGGTTTTAGTATCTTTGAGATGAACATGATTGACCAGAAATGTGTTGAGACTTGTATCGAGGGCTATACTTGGACAAACTTGACAAAACAGTAATTGATTAAATGATATTCATCAGAATCAGAATTAAAATCAATTATTTGCATTACCTTCATATAGTTTTCCATTTATCGTCAGTTTTGCGATAAATGTATTCTTATTTTTGTTTTTATTCCTAAATTCAAATATTCATATCAATGATTTTATAGTACATGATTATATATATGCTTGCATTTACATTTGTTTGCTGAATATGGAAATAATATTGACATGCCAATAAAATCATAAAACACTCAGTGACGTCAAATGTAAATCAAGTTATGAAAATTATCTTGTAAATGTCTGTATTGTAATGAAATGGCATAATTGTTTTTGAAAAAATTAAATAAATTTCCTAGTTTTGTAACATACTACAAATTCAGATGTAATACAATTTGTTTGAGTTAGTAATATATTAGTATTTATAATTTCATGATTAACATAATAAGAGCGCAAAGTAATTGAAAATCGACTTTTAATATTTCTACTGGTTTTAATATTGTAACTTGAAGTCTGAGTTCTATTTGTCTCATAACTATAAACAATTGGAAGTGTGATCAATTTTATAGTAACATTTTTAAAGCAAAATTTGAAACTTAATTTTGGATTTTTTTAGGTATAGTGCGCACTCCAACCAGAGTTTCTTATGGAAATAACATGGGTAAAATTTCATTTGTTTTTTAGAATTTTATAACTTTGTATTTGCATATCTTGATCATGAATAAAAAATTTACAACAAAAATTTGATATTCTTTATAAGATATGTATTCACTTAGGAAGAAGAACCAAAAAACTTTGGTTGGAGTGCGGACTATCTTGAAATTAATATTAAGAGCTAAAACTTTCAGAAATTTTCTTTTATCAATTTACAATCATTCGAGCCCCTGGAGGCAAGGAAATGTAAAAAAATCCATATTAAGGACCACACTAATATATATATATATATATATATATATATATATATATATAATAAGTAAATAAAAAACTGTATTACCCATTATTTCATTTTTTTAACGAAGTTAGATTAATCCTTTTATTCTAACTTATAATATTTTAAAAATAGAATCTACTTTTAATATATATGTATATATATATATATATATATATATACGTGTGTGTATTTATATGTCCTTGTATATAAATTTAGTGAAAAAACTTAAAATAAGAAAACATTAAATATTACTTACATAATTCAACGATTAACAATATTATATAGTTAAAATAATATATATAGTCATGCAATTATTTCTTCAAAATTTTCGTCTGTTTTGTCTTAAATATTTTTTTTAACTATGTTGAAAAATTAGATTTTGCGTTGACATGCAGTAGTAATTATCGATAATGTAAAATAAATGGTTATGTAAATTTTAAATAGACACAAATCAGTACCTACTTATGTACTGCATTTATATTCATAAATTTTTTGTGCCTTATTATTATAGCACATTTTCTATCTCAATATTTTGAATACAAATATTTTCATTATGTTTAGATTGTGAATTTCTGATAATCAATATTTGCATGAAGTAATATATCTTCTGGAGTAGTCGGAGCACCTGCGATAAAATTGATAAGAATTGATTAATAACTCACAAAAAGAAAAACAAAAAATACAAGGTAATTTGGTATGCACAAACCTAATGGAAACCATTTGTCAGTTTTTCCTCCATTCGCATCAATTCTGGCTGATTGCAAGGCGTGCCTTATGGCGCACACTGCTACGAAACCCATTGTGGCTGGTGGTTCTCCAGTAGCTGGTGAAAATGAGGATTAATTAATTAGAATTCTAAGATTAATAATATAGTGTTGAATTAAAAATTTGCAAATCTTTGCTCAAATTAGAATAAATCAAAATTATCGTTTCCAAGTCGAGCAAAGGCTTACTGTGTGCTATTAGTTTATATTTTAGCCCTTTATCGGCTCGCGTAACTTTCAAGTCACATTCTAAATTATTCGGAATTTTGACAAATATTTATGACATTTTCTGTAAGATGACAAATAAATCTTATTTTTATAACGTTCTCAAGACCACCATTATAAATATATAGAACCTGTGGTAGGTTCTTCAACCTAAAATAACATTTTCATACACACACCAGAGTGCGTACATTATATGCCGTTGTGACTTGAAAGTCACATAATTTATTAATACCAAAAACGTGTAAACAGAATTTTTAACTTCCCGTAGGATAAGTTATAGTAATCGCAAAAAATCGAAAATGAATATTTTTATATATCTTTAATTTTTTTTAATTTAATTTGAAAATTTGCTTTATTTGACTGGAAAAAAAAGGAAAATTTTCAAATTAATTTAAAAAAAAATTAAAGATATATAAAAATATTCATTTTCGATTTTTTTGCGATATCTTTACGTTTCAGAGGTTTCTGAACATTTTGGCATATCTTAGAAAAAATAGATGCATGTGTGTGTGTGTATATGTGTGTGTGTGTGTGTGTGTTCGGCAACAAATTTTCGTCGACGATTTCGGGAACACGGTTCAACCGATTTCAATTATTCAAAAATCATTCGATTGGTGTTGATAAGAAAACGTGATGATTAGTTTTTGGCATAGGCAGGTCTAGCCGTTTCGAAGATACGGAGCAAAAAGTGCTACAAACGGTAACTCAGTTTTTACGAGGACAGGGCGTCCGATTTTAATAATTCAAAAAACATTTTACTTGTATTGACAACATGAAAAGCTGATTAAATTTTCATGAAGGCAGGTCTAGCGGTTTCAGAGGTTTATTAGGAGAAGAAGAGAAAAAAGTAAAACAAATACTAATTGGCGGTCAAAAATGATCTTTAGACATATGCACATCAAATTATCAGATATTTTATAGAGATTTTAACAATAAGTATAAATTTTCTTTACATTCCTATGAGTTTCTTACCAAAGTCATAGATAGATAGATAACCACCCGGCGCTTACGATATTTCGATATTTTGTCTCTATGCAGTTAAAGCAGTACGATTGCTTTAAAAAAAAGTTTAGAATTTCTAAAATATTTCAAAATAAAGATAACATTTTTTTCAAAAAGTCTGTTTTTTCTAAAAGAGTAAGTTTTTGTCAAAAATTTATAGTTTCTCAAAAATCTAATTTTTTTCCAAGTAAATTTTTTTCAAAAATGTTAATCTTTTTAAAAAAAATAATTTTTGGTACGGGAAGTTACAGCAATTTGCCCGACTAGTTTGCTTTCTATTTGATATATAGGCTATAAATAGTGATTTTGTGTTTCCCTAGTTTTTTAGGTAAAACAAAAACTCAGTCTAAAGAAGGTTAATATAATATGGTTTTTACCTTTAGATCTTAATACACCTTTTGGATTTTTTTTATTAATCGTAAATTCTACACGAAAATCCACTGGTATATCCTTAGCTCCAGGTGGTTTATAATTCCATGTTCTGTTAGTTTTCAGTTCTCCGGTCGTTTTATCGTAAATTAATTTTTCGGTCAACCAGTGTCCTAAAGCCATCACAAAGGCTCCCTCCACCTTATGAATAATGAATATTTAAACTTATTGTATAATTTACCTTCTAAATGAGCAAAATTGTTCTTATAATAAGTCTACTACAAAATTTGTTATTCCGTGCTTGTTAAGAAATATACATAATTCAGTCTGTTCCAATCGATTATAATTGGCAAAAAAGTATAATAAAATTGGTAAAACTATTTATAAAATGTATCATTGTACAAATTCAAGAATTAACTTTCAAAGGTTAGTTATTAATTATTTTAAATATTTATATAGTTATTATCATTTGTTTGGTAATTAATAGAACCCAAACCAATTACCTGCCCAATGTCGATTTCAGGACTTATACTTTCTCCGGTTTCTTCTCTTATATCAACTCTTTGCAATAATACATTGCCAGTAAGTAAATCTACCTCAACCTCACAAGCCGACAATCCGCCTACATCATAGGATTTATTTACCACATCTGGCTTATGCCTGTAAAGAATTATGTGATCAATAATAATAATATAATATAATATAATAATATATAATATTTACAATGAGTTTTTAAATTAATGCAATCGTCAAATAAATATGAGTTATACTTACGAATACACAGCTTGCAACTCTACCATCTCCTTATGAGCTTCGTCAATTAAATCAGTCCACTTTGGATTTCCACCTAACTTTTCTTTGATTGGTTTCAGCCGTTCTAGTAATATCTTACAAGCTTCAATGGTAGCCTTCGTAACATTTACAAATAATTAAATTTTTAATAATTAGTGTATACATATTAATAAATTAAAGTATTATTAATTATTACCAGACAACAAGATTCGCTAGTAACCGATCCTCCTGTAATCATTGAATTTGGTGACTCCATATTACTGTTTGGTTTTATAGAAACTAAATCTAACTCTACGCCTAATGTATAAGCACAAACTTGGGCTACCTAAACAAAACAAAGTTTATATTTTAAAGTTTATATTTAATTGTTTATATTTTTTAGATAATTTATTACTTTAGTGTTGATGCCTTGTCCACATTCGATACCAGAGTGACTAACAGCAACTGTTCCATCTCCATGAAAAATGCAAACCATAGCTTGCAATCTTCCATAGTAGATTATTGGAAAATACATTGGAACTATAGCTATTCCTCGTTTGCGCCATCGATTTTTAGCATTAAATTCGTTAATCTCGTGTCTGCGTCTATCATAATCTTAAAATGCACAATTCACAATCAAAATAATAGAACAGTTATGAAAACAAACTAATGTCAATGTTCAAACCTGTTTTCTTTCTGAAATCATCTATGATATCATATACTAAGTTATCTGTCTTCTTCTCATATTTTCAATTCGAATATCAAGAGGATCTCTTCCTGTTACATGTGCTATATGTTCCATAATATTTTCTATCATTGCTACACCTTCAGTAGCCCCTGAAATTTAATTCACGATATTCAAGCATGTATATATTCAAGCACTGTTAAACTTTAAATTAAGTCAAAGTTAAATTATTTATTTAGTTATATATATGAATACCAGGAGCTCGCATCCACGTTGTTGACGGTTTTTCTGTTAAAACTGCATATCCTTCCAAGTTAAATCTGACGTTGTCGTAACAGTTTTGAAACATTTCAGTTGCAAACAAAACTACACTTTCATTCCATGAACATCCTAAGTCTTCGTAAATACTGGCGGATAAATATTGAATAACTCCTTGGTTGTTCACAGCAACCTTCAATTAAAAATAAAACAAATATTCAATAGTCAAAACTAACAAAGAAGCTTACCATATATGCCAATCATTTATAATTTATAGGCAGACAATTATAATTTTATAGACTGGATTAAAAAGTATATATACTCTTCTTTTATCTATAATACAACCAATACAATCAGAATATGCATCAATATAGTTTTTTTTGAAATGAGGTAACCATCGAATGATAATAAACAGTTACCCCTAAATTATTCAACTACTATTTCTACTGATTTTTTAGTTTTAGTTCTATTAAATATAATGTACGCAGGCGCTTTTAATAGTTTTATTGTATTAAAATCAGTATCATAAATCATCAATGATTTATATTAAAACAAATTAGTTATATGTACCTTGGATGAAATATTTCAATTTAGAATGATTTTTGAATAATGTCAATAAGTTATTTTAAATTTTCAAGATGATAATCTATTAACTAGTTGATAACTAAGAAACATGAACATTTTATCTACCTGATAATCAAGGGATGTGCAATTTCTTTTTCCTATAGCATACATATTATCTTCGATGCTCAACACCATTCTCACCGGAGTGTTTAAAAGAAATGCAGCGACAGCGCAAGCTGCTGAAACTTGATTATTTCTTGAAATTTTACTACCAAAAGCCCCACCAGCACGCCTTGTTTTAACATTGATTCTAAAATTGCATTTTTATTATTTAGAACCTTGAATTAATTTAGTAATTTTAACTTTACACTCACTTATGCTCCTTCATTTTTATTACTTGGGATATCGCTATCTGAATATTATCAGGTCCCTGACTTGAGGGATAGACATCCATGCCATCTTCAGTTGGAACACAAATAACCGTTTGGGTCTCCATCGTAAAATGATATTGACCATTCATATCCATAGAACCAGAAAATTCATGTGCTACATCAGATCCTAAAAGTGGAAATAATCATAATTAAGAATAGCTATCTAAATATTATTTTAAGTATATAAAATTTTTGTTAAGCAAAACTAACACTACTTGAGCTATGTTCAAGAGAAAAATAATATCGCGTTTTTGTTTTGTTAGGTTGTACGAGTCGAGAATAAGATCTGGAACCTTGATGTTATGCCAATGTTGTTACCACTTGAGCAAACCCATAATCTGTGATTATAAATGAGAATGAAATGTAATGAGTACTGTTATACATATAATGTACGATACTATCTTATGCTATGATCAAAATATTCAGAACAATTTTATTTCAAAAACTCCTAAAAGGAGACTCCTTATCCAACGATAGTGACACTAACACCAAAAAATCATTTAAGCTTCCAAATTTCGTTCAAGTAAAATACAAATACTCGTATGAAATCACATTGCTATCAGATAGTTTTTCGCCTACTTGTTTTGCAAAAACTATTTCTAACTTTACAACTTCCTATTTCAAATTAGACTAACGCCTATAACTAACTATAGTGTTATTGGTATTTAAAACTTTAAACTCTTAATCCTTTCTACTCGGATGTCTCGAGTGGCAAAATACGTATTAATTCTGCAATTCGCTAGTGGATAGGGTTAAAATAATATTTTGTTATTTTTCTGTTTTAGAATTACCTTTATCTTTCGCTTCATGACTATCTTCTAACTTTACTCTAGATGGTGTGTTATCATGGGCCAGAACATCCCTGACATCATAATAAGCCTTTTTTCCATTGGTGGTAGGAGAATATTCTATATGAACCAGCTTGGCAGCATGTTCGGCCAGCGCCAGAGATTCAGCCACAATGACACCTACTGGTTGGCCGTAAAATTTTACAACGCTTTCGCAGAACACTTCTTCGGGATCATTCATTAGAAGCATTTTTGGCGACGCAAAGCTGTTTTCACCAGGTATGTCTTTGGCCGAATAGAATGCTTTTACACCGGGTAGAATCTAATAGTTTAAAAAAATACATTTATAAATATGGTTTAGTAAGATAGCTTGAAAAACGACTTTTATAGAAACATTTTCATATACTTTGTTGAAAATAACTTTTTTTTTTCAAATATAATTTTTTTATATAAATTTCATTTGTATCAAATCTATAGAAAATGTAAATAAAAATAGTACTCATTTTTAAAACCTTTGTAAAATATCTGATAATTAGATGAGCATATGTCTAATATCACAAATACTATTTTTTTTATTTTTGCCTTTCCAAAAATTTAATCAATTTTTCATTCTGTCAATATAAATAAAAGATATTTTTTGCACTTTTTGCCCCGTATATTGGAAACGATTGGACCGCCTTTGCCCGAAATTAATTAGCACGTATGCCCAACAATACTAATCGTTAATCATTCAAATTGGTTAATCCCTGTTCCCGAAATCGTCGGTGAAAATTTGTATCCGCACACATACATTCATTTTCTCTAAAGTATGCCAAAATGTTCATAAAATCAAAGATATGCAAAAAAAAAAAATATTTTAGATTTTTTTACGATTAATATATCTTACCATACGAGAAGTTAAGGAAGTGGTTAATTTTTTTCAATGGTTAAAATACAAATAAATTTATAATCAGAAGCTATATATTTAAATATTTGTAGATATTTTATATTAAAATAAACGGTTATAATCTCGCACAACTAAATACGTGAAGTTAAACCATTTCTAGGATTTTAAATTCTTTTTAAATTAAGTTAAGTTAAGATTGGATCAAAATGA